TAAGGTCAATGTAGAATGTCATTAATTTAAAATTAAAAAGTTAAAAATCCATACCGTGTACGGGTTCTGGGAAGTCGGGGGGGGGGGGGAGGGGGGGGGGGGGTTGGGGGGGGGGGGGGAGGGAGGGGCACACAAAAAAAATTGTACTTCAATGTCTTAATGATTGACGAATGATGAAATATTTGTGTTTTTTAAAAGAAATAAAATAAATATTTGTGATAAAATCTGGGAAGCATTACGCCCATGAAATTCAAATGTGTCAAAGTTGTGATCACTTCAGCACTGCTGTGCCACTATGCCCAGCCCCAAGTCACATGATCATCACTGCCAATGCTCCTCACAAGGAAAGTCAACAGGGAAGCTGGCAGGAAGTCAGAAATTGCTCCTACTCCCACTACCTTTTTTGCCCACCAGTGGTCATTCTGTTTCTCTCTTTACGTAAGGAAATATTTCTGAAACGATGACTCAGTGGCTCACAGGTTGTCTAATGAGTATATAAAACTGCATTAGTGAAATTATACAGGATCTTCACAAATTTGTTATATCAAACTTTGATATAAGCAAAAGAAAACTATCCTTAAAATCTTAACTCGGAATATTTAGGGCAGAGATGGAGAACTGATTTTACATCAAGTGCCAGTCCCATGGTAGTAACAAACATGATTTGTTTAATCAAGTCCAACAAAGACGGTATTGTCTTTTTTGGCCTACAATCTTTTCAATGTCAAAATTCTCTTTCACTCTGAAAAGAGCAGCTGAGAACTATCTACTATTGGATGAATTTGGCAAGTTAGTAATTTTGCAGTTTCATTCATAAATACAAAATGACCTTATAGAAACCCTTCTGTGGCAGGGAATTGTTCATCCATCTGACCATTGGCTGTGACTGGAAACTCCAACAACTTCTATCTCTTTTAGAAATAAGAATTTAGGAGGAGATAAATATTTTTGCCCCTTTGTCTTGTGAACAGTATTCTTGTGAACAAGTGCTTCTAAATTGTTCAGCTGTCCCAGAGAATGTAGGCACCAGTAAGCAAAAGGACCTGTTCCTCTTCTTATTCCAAAATGGGATGTCTGCTGATTTGTTGCCTTCTTCTATTGGAGATTATTTGCTTAAGGCTATGCTCAGTAAAATTCATGTTAACTTCTATGGCAAGTTTTTTTTTCTTTTAAAAATTATATAATTTTCAGATTATATAATTATATGATTATCTAATTCGTATAAATTAGAACAAGTACAAACTGGTGACAGTGAAAAAATTATCAAGGATAAAGATGTTCTTTTCAAGTCAGAAATCCAAACAAACACAAAATGCCTGGTTTATCTGCCTTGGAGATCCCTCTCCTTATAAAAGTCAACAAGTAGAGCCAGAAATGTGACTCAGACTTAAGATTTTATAGATCTTAAAATTATGAATTCTGTCACAAATGAAGGGCTAAATCCGTTTGAGATAATAACCGCAAGTATTTGTGTTTCAGCATACACAAGTTCAGAACTTTATTGCAGGCCCTGCTAACTGCTTTCCTCACACTTAACAGTGGAAGAATAGTAGCGGTTCCAGCAAAAACAAAAACAAAAAACCTAGGGCAGAAATATGGACAGATACAGCAAACCATTCCCTTCTGAACTAACAGGGAAACAAGACTTGAGCTGATTTGTGTTACCTGGACTAAACGCAAGCAGAGTTTGCTAAAATAGAAGCAAGGCTTAAATTGATTCTTGGTGTCTATATTTCATGTTGAAAATTGGCTTGTAAATCCATGTTTTGATCTATGGTGGCCGTCTCCTTAAGAAAAAGCAAGAGTAAATGTGTAATTTCTCCCTTGACAGCACACAGTGGCGAGGCGATCCTTCTTCCTGCTCCCCTCCGACTTGGGACAGCTCCGCTGCCTCCCATCAGCACTCTTT